CATGATGAATCTGTGAGGCATCTCACAACATGGATGAATCTGGAGGGTATTATCCTGAGTGAAGTAAGTCAATCACAACAGGACAAACATTGTATGAGACCACTACTATAAAAACTTATGAAAAGATTTACACACAAAAACAAACAACATTTGATGGATACAAGGAAGGGGAGGAGTAGGGACGAAAAAACACTAAATAGCAACAGATAACTTTGGTGAAACGCCTTCAGTGCAGCTTGGACTTCTTCAGTACCATCGGTTCCTGATCATATGTTACCTCCTAAAATGGTTGAACATCGACCAATTTTTTTTTGGTATACTGACTGTGTATTCCTTCCATCTTCTTTTGATGCTTCCTGTGCTGTTTAATATTTTCCCCATAGAATCCTTCAGTATTGCAGCTTGAGGCTTGAATTTTTTTTCAGTTCTTTCGGCTTCAGAAATGCTGAGCATGTTCTTCCCTTTTGGTTTTCTATCTCCAGGTCTTTGCAAATGTCATCATAATACTTGGCGAAAAACAAGGCTCCAGGAATTGACGGAATAACAATTGAGATGTTTCAACAAATGGATGCAGCGCTAGAAGTGATTACTCGTCTATGCCAAGAAATTTGGAAGACAGTTACCTAGTCAACTGACTGGAAGAGCTCCATATTTATGCCTAATCCCAAGAAAGGTGATACAACCAAATGCAGAAATTATTGAACAATATCATTATTATAACATGCAAGCAAAATTTTGCTGAAGATCATTCAAAAGTGGCTGCAGCAGTACATTGCCAAAGAACTGTCAGAAATTCAAGCAATTTAGAAGAGGATGTGGAGCCAGAGATATCATTGCTGATGTCAGACAGATCCCGGCTGAAAGCAGAGAATACCAGAAAGATGTTTACCTGTGTTTTATTGACTATGCTAAGGCATTCAGCTGTGTAGATCATAACAAATTATAGATAACATTGTGGAGAATGGGAATTCCAGAACACTTAACTGTGCTCATGAGAAATCTCTACATGGATCAAGAGGCAGTCATTCAAACAAAACAAGGGGATATTGCATGGTTTAAAGTCAGGAAAGGTGTGCGTCAGGGTTGTATCCTTTTGCCATACTTATTCAATTTGTATGCTGAGCAAGTAATCCAGAAGCTGGACTGTATGAAGAAGAATGGGACATCAGGACTGGAGGAAGACTCATGAACAAACAACGTGCATTATGCAGATGACACAACCTTGCTTGCTGAAAGTGAAGAGGACTTGAAGCACTTACTGATAAAGATCAAAGACTACAGCCTTCAGTAGGGATTACACCTCAACATAAAGAAAATGAAAATTCTCACAACTGGACCAATGACCAACATCATGAAAAACAGAGAAAAGACTGAAGTTGTCAAGGATTTCATTTTACCTGGATCCACAATCAACACCCACAGAAGCAGCAGTCAAGAAATCAAATGACGCATTGCATTGGGCAAATCTGCTGCAAAAGACCTCTTTAAAGTGTTCAAGAGCAAAGATGTCACCTTGAGGACTAAGGTGCACCTGACCCAAGCCGTGGTGTTTTCAATCGCCTCACATGCATGTGGAAGCTGGACAATGAAGAAGGAAAACCGAAGAAGAATGGACGCCTTTAAATTGTGGTGTTGGCAAAGAATATTGAATATACCATGGACTGCCAAAAGAACAAACAAATCCGTCTTGGAAGAAGTACAATCAGAATGCTCCTCAGAAGCAAGGATGGCAAGACTATGTCTCACATACTTTGGACATGTTATCAGGAGGGCTCAGTATCTGGAGAAGGACATCATGCTTGATAAATTAGAGGGTCAGTGAAAAAGAGGAAGACCCTCAACGAGATGGACTGACACAGTGGCTGCAACGATGGGCTCAAGCATAGCAACAACTGTCAGGATGGCGCAGGACCGGGCAGTTTTTTGTTCTGTTGTGCACAGGGTCGCTATGAGTCAGAACCAACTTGGCGGCACCTAACAACAACTTTGGTAAAGGGTAAGACAGCACACAATACTGGGGAAGCCAGCAAAACTTGTGCAAGGCAAGGTCATGGAAGCTCCATAGACACATCCAAATTCCCTGAGGGACCGAATTACTGGGTTAAGGGCTAGGGGGGCCATGGTCTCAGAGAACATCTAGCTCAACTGGCATAACATAGTTTACGAGGAAAATGTTATGCATTCTACTTTGGTGCGTAGCGTCTGGGGTCTTCAAAGCTGGTGAGTGGCCATCTAAGATACTCCACTGGTCTCACCCTTTCAGGAGCAAGGGAGAATGCAGAAAATTAAATACACAAGGTAAAGATTAGTCCAATGACTGATGGACCGCAAGTACTACAGCCTCCACCAGACTGAGTCCAGCACAACTAGATGGTGCCCAGCTACCAGCACCGACTATTCTGACAGGGATCAAAACAGAGGGTCTCCGACAGACCTGAAGAAAAATGTAGAACAAAATTCTAACTCACAAAAAAAGACCAGACTTACTGGTCTGACAGAGACTGGAAAAACTCTGAGGGTATGGCCCCTGGACACCTTTTTAACTTAGTAATGAAGTTACTCCTGAGGGTCACCCTTCAGCCAAAGATTAGACAGGCCCACAAAACAAAAGGAGACCAGATGGACACACCAGCCCAGTGGCAAGGACAATAAAGCAGGAGGGAACAGGAAAGCCAGTAATGAGGAACCTAAGGTCAAGACGGCGAGAGTGCCAACATGTTGTGGGGTTGGCAACCAATGTCATAAAACAATATGTGTACTAACTGTTTAATGAGAAGCTAGTTTGTTCTGTAAACCTTCATCTAAAGTATAATAAAAAAAGAAAGAAAAAAAATCTTTGCCAACAGAACAGGTAAGACATGTTATCTAACTCTTATTTTCTTTTGCATTTATTTTATTAGTAAGATTGCATTTTGAAAACATATTTTTTGGTAATTGTTCTTTCTTATTTTGTTAGTTGCTACCTTTTCCTTAATTCAATCTTTCTATTAGTAGTTTTATATTTTTCCTATTGATTTATAAAAACTCTCCATCTCGGAAGGCTACTAAATTCTTTGTTTATCATATAGTAACTATTTTTACCTATGTTAGTTATTTACAGTTTTACTTGGTTTATGACTTCTTTATAATAAGAAATTCAAAAAAAAATTATGGTCATGTCCATCAAAATTCTGTTTTATGCTTTATGCCTTTTTTTGTCACACATCACTCTTTGGAATTTACAATCACATTTATTTTATTCTATGACTTCTACATTTTTAATTTTCACATTTATATCTCCTATACATTTGAGGCCACAACTAAAGTCTTACTATAACTCTTTAAGAACTCACATAAAAATATATAAAATCAATGTGATCATACAAAATGGGTTTATTTACCCCAGGGTACATTTTTATTTTAAATTTGGGATGGGTCTTGTGGGGGAAAAAAATCCTAGCAGTTTCTTCCATTTCAAAAGATTGCAGTACCGCTATCAAATGACATAAAAATTAGGTTAGTTTTCTGAGCTAACATTATTATTTCCTTTTTTGTCACCAATTGCGTTCACTGTACGTTTGCCTCCTCAGCTGGACTGTAGGTATTAAAAGGCATTAAGGGGGTAACTTCTACTCAAGACTGAGCTCATCAAGAAATTGTCCATGAAGTAAGTCATCGCTAGATCTGTAGAGCTTAGCATAGTGTATGGCACATAGCAGGCACTTGACAATCGGTGAATTCTGTGTGTTAGACACTTATTAAAATCTTATAAAAAGGACTAAAACGGTAAGTGGTTAAAAAAGTATTTTTAGAGGCACAATCCAGCAACAACATGTGGTGAAATGAACAGAGGTTCAAAAAAGAAGTGAGAGAGAAGTAAATTAGGTAGGAGGCTACTGCAGGTCTAGGCTTCCTCTGAATGGGCCTACATTGTGTAGGTAGTTATGAAATTGGCAAGGAAGGTCAAACCAAGATAACATCATAAGGTCGGGAAGGCTAAGTGAGTAAAAGATCCAGTGACAGAAACCAGGAAGGTGAGAAGAAGAGCAATCTGGGCAGGGTGGGACAGAGATAGGAGATAATGGTTTTGGTATCAGACATACTGAATTTATGGCATTGGTAGAGCAGCCAATTAGAGTTGTGTGGTAGACTGTCAAAGATACAGGACTGGAACACACTATAGGTAAGTGGACAAAGGGAAGCAGGAAAGGAAAGCAACCTTTACAGGTACTTACACGGGTGGTTTGAGTTTACCCAGAGGTGCCTCAGAAGAAAGATCTGGTGATCTACTTCTGAAAAATCAGCCAAAAAGAACAGAGCACAGTTCTACTCTGACATATATGAGGTCCCGATGAGCTGGAATTGATTCTATGGCAACTGGTATAATGGTATCAGACACGGTGTTAGGTGTTTTACTCATAGAATTGGAATTTAAAGTGCAGAGTCATTTGCACACTAGTGACAGACAGGAGAGAGAACCACAGAGATTGATTACATCCTGGCTCCACCATTTCTAGCCATACAGACCTTGGAGAAGTTTACTTATGCTCTCTGTCAATCTTAGTTTCCTCATCCAAGAAATGAGATAATAATAAGGCCTGCCTCAAAGAGCTGGAATAAATGGCATAATCTACAAATAGTACATGGCATGGTGCCTAATAATGCCTAGCTCAAAGAGCCGGAATAAATTATGTAATCCATAAATAGTACGTAGCATGGTGCCTAAAATTTAATAAAAGTTCAATAAAGGGTCATTATTAGTGGGAAAAAACAGAGAACTTAAACACCAGCTTTGGGAATATTAAGAGATAGAAGAAAGATTCAGAGATATTGAAAAGATGGAGAGATATTTAGGGAAGTGGGAGAAAACCTTGAAAATACAATGTTCCGAAAATCATAACGGCTAAGAGTCTCAAAGAAGTAGCCACTTAATCAAACTCAACCATGGGGACAGGAAAATGGGCCATTTGGACCTGTATGTTCCTCATGTAAGTAAAGCAAATGTAGACACTGCTACATACCCAGAGCTGGTCATCCATGCCTGGTGGGTTCTTTTTGATAAAAGCACCATAGTAAGTAGCAATGTTTCGGTGATGAGAATATTTCTTCAACATGTTAATTTCTTGTTTAATTTCTTCCTCTTCATCCTGTATTAAAACAATAAATATTTTGTCATTAAAATTCATTATCTTTAGTAGGATTCTCCTTTTCATCACCATCTCTGTCAACTAAGTAATAAGTTCTTTCTTAAGGTTTTTCCTTCTATGGTGGTAAATAAGTGAAATTTTTACATATGACTGTAAGGAAAAAGTTTATAAGACAATACATTGACAGTACAAAGGGTCTTCTGTTTGTATAGAAAACAGACATAGCATGCAACCTGTCGGACAAAACACCTCATCCCTTCATCTCGTTGAGGTCAAGGTAAACAGATATTGAGATAAAATTCACCCCAGGCCTCTGGGAACGATGTCCATAAAAAACCCAAACTAGTTGCTGTTGAGTCAATTCTGACTCACTGCAACCCTATAGGAAAGAGTAGAACTGCCCCATAGGGTTTCCACTGGGGAGCCCTGGTGGCACAGTGGTTAAGAGCTCGGCTGCTAACCAAAATGTTGGTAGTTCGAATCCCCCAGTCACTCCTTGGAAATCCTATGGGGCAGTCCTACTCTGTCCTATAGGGTTCCTATGAGTCGGTATCAACTTGATGGCAAAGGGTTAATCTTTCATGGAAGCAGACTGCCACATCTTCCTCCGGCGGAGTGGCTGGTGGGTTCAAACGACCGACCTCTCCATTAGCAGCTGAGCCCTTAACCACTGGGCCACCGGGGCTTCTTCTTTGAAGCCTATTTTTACTGAAGTACCTGACTGAACAGGATGAAAGGCAAGTGGGAAAGGGAGCAGGATAAGTTCTGAGAAAGTTCACAAAGCAAGAGTACCCACCTCACCTTCAGGAAACTAAACATGAAAAGAAAAGGGGAAATGTGGGGGTGCCATAAAACTATCCTACAGAGTAAGGTTTTTTTTTAAAAAGAATTATTTACTTTGCATTCATTCTGAGTTTCAATTTGGAATTTACCAACGTGGGCCATTTTAGAGGTTCTATTGGTGGAGAGTGTGTATTCTTCCATGATTTTTTTTTATGATTTTTATTTATTTTTAGTCTTTATTTTTTAGAGCAGTTTTGGGTTTACAGAAAAATGCAGAAAGTACAGAGAGTCCCCATACACCCCTTCCCCCTGCACATTATTTTTCCTATTAACATCTTACATTCTCATGGTACATTTGTTACAGGTAATGAACTGATATTGATTAATTAAAGTCCTTAGTTCACATTAGGGTTCACTTTTTGCGTTGTACAGTTCTGTGGGTTTTGATAAATGCTTCATGTCATGTGCCACCATCCCAGTATCAGACAGAATAATTTCATGGCCCTAAAAATGCTCTGCACTCCACCTATTTCATGATTTTTATCTTAATAAATGTATATATTATCTGCTGGACTGAAAAATAGTATTTTATTTTTGAGGCTAGTGGGAAAAGCTTCTATTCCAGGATCATTGTTTTAGACACAGCGGTAGCAATGACCATATTTGAGTGTAAGAAGTTACATTACCATGACCTGAAAGACCACCCACTGTGTGTCCCTGTCAGCACCCCTCACCCTCATCTTCAGAAGACTCCTTCCTGTGTCTCCACATTCCGGGCCCTTCTGCAGTCTCCCATCCCTGTTCCCTGATCTTCTTCGCATAATTTCTACTCATCATTCCTGACTGAGTTTAAGTGACACTGCCCAGGGATGCCTTCCCTAATTCTCTTAGGCAATGCCAAGTCCCCTGCTACGTCTTGTCACAGCCCCTACACTTGCCCTTAACATTCTCATCATATTTGTTGGTATGGTATGAAGCAGGGGTCATACTGTGCCATACTGCCCTTTTAGCTGTCTCTCTTTTCCATGAACTGGAACCTCTCCTCTGCCTTCTGATCTCAGTTCCAGTGTCCCTTCCCTGGAGAAGCTTCTCTTCTACCTGACTTGGTGCTAAACCCTGCGAATCCTCTTGTGTCTTTGCCTTTGTCACACCTATCAGAATTGAAATCTACATATATCTGATGATTTGATTAAAGTCTCTCTTCCCTATCAGTCCACAACAACCATTAACACAGGAGTCCTGCCTGCTTTTGTTTCTTATTACATCCCTAGCATCAAGCAAATTGGTGTGAATAAATTGAATAAAAGAATGAATACCTGCAAAGGGCCCAACCACTGAGGGCAGCATGGTGATGCTTACGAGAAACTGTTAAAAATAGGATGAGGAGAGCGGTGAAATGCTGACATTTGCTGATCACACAGAAATAATTCTAAGTAAAAAAACAATGGAGATTTGCAAACATAGGGGAATTAAAACATGTTACATATTACATGGCTTACCTAAGTCAAAGACCAGGTAACCATCTCATAATAGAACTCATGATTTGGGATGCTGAGCTAAGGGGAAGCACATGGCCCTAACAGTGAGGAAGGGAGTGGAGTGGGTGAGGGGCTAGGATGTGACTGGGGGGCAGAGGGATGGCACACTGCCCACCAATGTACTCTTCCCTGCATCTCTCAGAAAGTGTCCACACCTTCCCCACAGGCCTAAGAAGAGACTGACCTTCACAGACCTACAACTGCCAGGTTCACACTCGTTGAGGGGTCCCTGCAGTGTACCTCAGATGTCTTACTATGGTGCATATTGCTATTTTAAACTCACCACATAGGGTCAAGTAATTCTGGATGGATGTAGAATATGAGCGAATGTACTCTGGGGAAGCCTAAATAGAAGGGGAGAAAACAAACCTAAGGGTTTCTGTGAGCAGGACGGCACTCACAGCTGCTTAAAGAGGCAGCCACGTGAGGTAATAGACACCGATCACTCTCCAAATGCAGCCAGTCTCAGCTTTAGTCATTCTTAGTGGGAATTCAGGTGGCCTCCACAAGTATTCACTGCCTGCCTGTTACCAAAAGCATGCTTGGTGACGTGGGAGAATTAGAGAGGGGAAAAAACTGCCTAAAAAAAGCTTACCATATCATTAACAAAATAAGAACTTATGAAACAGTTAAATAACAGTGTAATTTAGTATAATTAAATCCAAAATAAATACAATTAGAAGTCAGAATGAAGTCAGCGCATTTTCCATCATTCTGCAAAGGTAAACTGAGGCAACATGGTGATGAGGAAATTGTATGCACTGAGTTTAGGAACAGAAGGATGAAGGGGGGCAGGTGGGGTGCATGTTGAGTTTGGGCTCCACCCCTTTCCGGCTACAAGATCTTGGGAGAGTAACCTATCTTTTTGGAGCCTAGGTTTTCTCACCTAAAATGAGATACAGATATTATAATAGTATTATTATATGTCTCAGATTTTTGTGATAATTAAATGAGGTATGTGGGAGTTATAAAAAGTAATAAAATAAGCATGATTATTAATCTTCTCAATGAAAAAAATAAACTTTATAAAATATAGAAGAGTAGGCATTTAAGTAATCTGAATTTGGGATTTAAATGGCACTGTTCCTCAACACAATTATGGAATCATTATGGGTCATAATTATGTAGCTGTAATACAGAACCTATAGAATCTTCCATGGTCTTGAGAGTAAGCATGCAATTTATCAGGCCTCTGGGGCTACTATTCATTCTGATTTCTAGTATAGGGCAATGATGGCAGTAGGTTATTCAGTGAAACTGAAACGGAAGCACTTACCAGTGCTACAAAAACTCACTTAACCATGTCACATACAGGCCACCCTCTCACAATATGGCTCATTAAAAGAGATGAGTTAAGATGCTTTCAAAAAGACAAAGAGAACAACACTTATGGCTAGAATTAGACTTGAAAGGTATTAAGGGAAAAGACTTCTTCTATTCTGTAAATGAATCATTACTGTGTCTTAAGTATTGAACAGCACAGGGATCAAGCTCATTGGCAAGCTAATGGCCACAGAATCATTAAAAAAAAAAAAAAAAAGTAGTGGTGCCAAATTGTCACAGATTTAAAAGGAGGGTAATTTTAATAAGCAGAGTCTGGTACTTAGGAACAGCCATTACTTCAATGAGAAGACTTCATATCTAGTCAAAGCTGATTTATTATGTACCCTTAGGCACATCACTTAAACTCCTTGAATGTCAGTTATTTTTACCTATAAAGGGAATAAGAATGCCTATCTAAGCCAACTCTCAGGGCTTAGAAATCATTAAGTGTTTAAACATACCCTTAGTATCAACATAAAGAAGATTAGTTCCTTTCTTCAAGATTATTGGAGTTTATTTATTGCTTAGTGTTTGTGGTGGAATAAAAAAAATGGCCACCATATTTGGCAGCCTCCTTCCTCTAGACCAAGAGTCCATTTCTCTTCTCCTTGAATCTGGGCTTAGCCATGTGACTTGCTTTGGCCAATGGGACATCAACAAAGGTGATGTAAGCAGAGACTTGAAAAGTATTTGTGCATTGGGGCTGCTCTCTCTTATTGCATGCAGGGAACCCTTCCCCACCATGTGAGAAGCCATGGCTAGACTCCCATAAGATGAGAAACAATGTGAAGAGACTGATGCTTCCAAATGCAAATAAATGTATAATTCTAGTAGATGCTTTTAAGCAATTAACTACCTCTGATGATGACATCATGATCATGACCTTGGTCCTAACATATAGCCAAAGCCACCATTATGTAATGCTCACTATGTACCAAGGGCTGTGCCAAGAGCTTTATTGCACTATATTATTTAATACTCAAAACAGCTCTATGATATAAGTGCTTATAATGAGCCTATTTACAGCAGAGGAAACTGAGTCTCAGAGAAAAAACTTGCCATCGAGTTGTTTCCAACTCATAGTGATGCTACAGGACAGAGCAGAACTGCCCCCACAGGGTTTCCAAGGCTATAAATCTTTATGGAAGCAGACTGCCACATCTTTCTCCCATGGAGCAGATGGTGGGTTTGAACTGCTAAACTTTGGGTTAAGCAGCTGAGCACTTAGTCACTGCACACCAGGGCTCCTTGAATCTCAGAGAGGTTAAGCAATTTCCCTAAGTTCACTCATATTTTAATGTTAGCGCTAAGATTTAAGCACAGATCTGTCTGACTTCAAAGTCAGAACTCTTAATTCTATACTAAAAAACAAAAACAAAAAACAACTCTTAGGAGAAGGGCAATTACCCCAAGGTGACTAAAACCAAAGATACTAATCATGAAAAAAAAAGAGTTTAGAAGCATCTTAAGGCAGGGCTGAAGAGAAACTTGCCTTTGGTCCTCCAATTAAAGAAATTTGTTAGCATACAATAATATTTGCTTATGAATTATTTCAGGGACTAAAGGAGGAATTTTAAGTTGCATATTTATGACACAGGGGAACACACTTTTAGCATTTCCAATATGCCAGGATTTTAAAACAAAATTAATAAGATGTTTAATATTACGGTGCTCTGTAACAAAGAGTTTGCCAGACATTTAACTCTCAATCTATGGAACAGAAATAAACCATGTAATTCCTATAGCAATCGAAGGGACTGGTCAGTTGGAACTTTCGAGGGAAGTATGAGGTGTCCGAACTCATAAATGCCACTACCCCCTAGATGTGCAGACATCACACGTGCACTAGATGTGCAGACACCAGCTAGAACCATGTCTGCTCCTGCTCACTGGTCCTGCCTTCCTAGCAGCTGTGGGCTTTAGGGGAGGTGTTTGTGTTAACTTATAAATCATTTTCACCTTCACGTTTGACTGAATATGATAAAAAGTTGAAGACAATTTATTGTTAAAGGATCATAGAACATTAAAATTTGAAGGGATCATAGGTATCATCTAGGATGTGCTTTTAAGAAAAAAAAAATTATACCAGTGAAATCCTTCCTCCAACAGAAAGTATATTTATGATGCCAATATATAACAGATATAAACTAGATTTTTTTATAAGTAAGCATATTTTTATAAGTTTAACTATGTAATATCAACTTATAAAGTTAAGCAGCAACAACAAAAAGGTTGTTTCAGTGAATACAAAATAAAATTTATGAATGCAATATCTTACTAATTTTCCCTTTTGTTTTGGTCCCAAAGAATAGAGAAAATCTACATTTCCTAAGACAAGTAGTTGTAAATGATAACAGTTATTGCAAAGAGCTTGCCTTGCAATTTCAGTAGGATATTCAAATTAAATGGCATCCCATACAAAAATGTGTACAAATTAGCAGGCTGGCATTTCCTAGTGCATTCAAGGTTGGTATACAACATACAGTTTGAGGTTTGTTTTTTTAGAATCACAGTTTATTAAATGTTTAAATATATTAAAAATTAAACGAGAATCAAGCATTGTATCAAGGTGGGGTTCTACAGCTGTGATCTATATTTTTACAGGTCCAAACTGGTTAAAGGACTTGTCTAGGCCTCACCACTTCATTGCAGCATTGATAGAACTCACACTATGGCACTAAATTCTACAGGCAGCACCTGGATTTGCTACGTATGTTAACCCTAAGCTAAATAAATTCATTCCACCAAGATTTATTAGGCACCTGCTATATACCAGGCATGATGCTAAGTGCTAAGAATATAGTAATGCAGCAATGGGCATAAAGAGATTCAAGCTCCGCCACGATAAAAATTAATATAGCCTAGTGAAGAAAATAATTACACAAATCAAATAATCATACAAATATATATAAAACTGTTACCAAGAGAGGTATGCGGTAGCTGATCTAATTTGGGGATCAGCCCTGAGAAAACCAAATTTGAGCTGAGTTCCAACAGCTGAGTAAGAGTTATCTAGTTGGAGAGGAAGAAAGAGAAAGTATGATATGATGTGATTGGAGAAGGAACAGTTTTCCAGGCAGTTACAACTGTTTGCAAACGCCCTGTGGCTGGAGGAGGAATGTCTTTGATGCCCTGGACAGAAAAATGAGAAACTGTCTTCAAGAGCCCTGGTAATAATTAGAACAATAAGAGCATACACTAAACACCCTGTTCTAAATATTGTTCTCAACGCTTTGTAAATAACTGTTTTTAATTCTCACACTAACTTTATGAGAGAGATGGTATCATCCACATTTACAGACATGGAATAAGGGAAGATAAAGTATTTTGCACAGGGTAGGAGAGCCATTAAGTGTCAAAACTAGGATACACCCTAGATGAGCTTGAATTTCCAGTGTTGAATGTGCTCGACTGTAAACTGAAAGGTTGGAGGTTTGAGTTCACCCAGAGGCAATTCGGAAGAAAGGCTTGGTGATCTACTTCCAAAAACTCAGCCATTGAAAACTCCACTCCATGAAGCACAGTTCCACTCTGAGAGGGCATGGGGTTGCCATGAGTCAGAATCGACTTGATGGCAACTGGAACTGGTATCTTTACTATGAGGCTAACCTTCTCTCTCTTACTATGAACAGGTGCCCCTTAGAGGCACATATACCAAAAGTCTGATTACATCTTTCTCACAACAAAGCCTGAACTGATGTATGAGTCCCAAGAAAACATGAGTTTAAAAAAAAGACCCATGTTCAAGTAACCCAGAAGTAAACAGGCTTAATGCTAGCAGTGATGTCATTCATTTGGCTAAAGTTTATCATAAATGAGGAGGTGGGGCCAAGATGGCAGAGAAGTCAGATGCTTCTGGTGGTCCCTCTTACAACAAAGACCCGAAAAAATAAGTGAATTGATTATATATGACAATCTAGGAGCCTTGAATATCAAAGGCAAAGTTGAGGAATCAGACTGAGTGACATGGGGAGGGAGAGACAGTTTGGATGTAGTGAGGAGTTGCCAGACCTGACCCGGCGAGAACTTGAGCCTTTCAGGCTGGATCATCTTGTGGTGCGTGGTGAGGCAGGCAAGCAGTGGCGCTCGGGAGAGTTTTCCACATCTGGAGATATCCAGCAGTAGAGAGTCTACTTGGCCATCCAGAACCAGTGAGAAGCAGCCCTTGATCCACGAAAGGTAAGTACTTACGTTTGGCCTAATGCGCAGATCAAAAACACCTGCCTTAGGGAAAACCTCTCTCCCATTTACCTCCTTGCTCTACGCTGGGTCCAGGACAGCTTCAGCAACTGCAGAGTCCCCTGAGCCATTCTCGCAGCCTTGGAGAGTGAACAAAATAACAAATGGGAAAAAATAATCTGCTGGCTCCCCTAAGCCAGGAATTCAGGGTAGGCACAGCTCCTTTGTCTAGGCACAGGTATAAGGGATCCACAGACTTTGAGTGCCTTTCCCCGTGAATAGACTTGTGTGGGCCCATTTCAACAGCACAGGCCCTCGTTACCACAATACAACAGGGTATATACCGGAAGTCTAACTTCTACAGTTTCAGCTGTGAAGTGGCAGGTTCGTGACATTTGACACTGCTCTGCACATTAAGCAGGGTCTTCACCTACCCAGATCAGGGGCCTGAGGACTCGTGGCTCCACCCATGCCATCTAGCCACCTGTGACAGGGGCCCAAGAATAACAGATGTTCCCCAGTCCTTACAGCCAACATCACTGGCTGCTCATAGTCTGGCTGCAAAACCCACTCACCTACATGATCTAGGGAACAGGGACATGCTTTCCTCCTGGACACTTGGGGGCAGCCGTCACCCCCCTGCCTTGCTCAGTGTGTGACCCCCTGCTGCACCCGGATGCCTGTGCCTATACCAATCACCCAGGCCTGTCTAGGACTGTAGGTGAGAGCCTGTACCACACACTTGCTGGCTGACTACCTGGACACCTGAGCTGAATCCATACAGGAGGAGTGGGTGGACTCCTGGTCTTACATACTTAGTGGCAGGTCTGGCCACCTGGTGGCGGGACATTGGAGCTTCAGGGGCACCAGTGATCGGGCTAGCTCACACAAGCAGCCTATTTGGGCATATCAAAACAAGAAGGTACGACACAGTAAGCAAACATAAAATAAATATAATAACTTTATTGATGTCTCAGGGATAATAGTCAATATCAAATCACATAAAGAGGCAGACCATGATGGCTTCAGCAAGCTCCCAAAATAAAGAATCTGAAATTTTCTAGAGGAAGAAAATTTCTTGGAATTACCATACGCAGAATACAAAAGATTAACATTCAGAACTCTTCAAGAGATCAAGAAGGAAATTAGGCAAATGCAGACCAAGGAATAGAGGAATTTAAGAGTAGACAAGAGCAAAATGACAAATTTAACAGGCTGCAAGAATCCACAGAGAGAGAGCAATCAGAAATCCAGAAGATTAACAATAACTTTTGAGAATTAGACAACTCAATAAAGTTTATCACAAACGAGGTGGCTTATATTCTCAAGAGGCTTAGAACTACAACTCAGGTAACAGCCCATAGGAACAGGAATGAGACTTTCTGATGGTATAAACAGTGTTATTGATAATGTCTTCTCTTTTGGATTTGGCTACAAGAAAAAACAATTACCAGGTTCTCTGTGGCCTGTAAATAGGATTTGTTTTTCCTTTATCTGACTTTCTACCCTTTATATTTTTTCTGGTCTCTTATCCTTACATATATATTATCATTTAATGTTCTTTTTTTATGTTAAAAAAATTTTACTGTACTTTAGATAAAGATTTACAGAACAAATACTTTCTCATTTAACAGTTAGTACACATACTGATTTATGACAATGGTTAACAACCCCAAGACATGTCAACACTGTCCCTTTTCAACCTTCGGTTCCCTATTACCAGATTTCCTTTCCCCTCCTGCCTTCTAGTCCTTGTCCCTGGAGTGTTGTGCCCCATTAGTCTCGTTTTGTTTTATGGGGCTGTCTAATCTTTGGCTGAACGTTGAACCTCGGGAGTGACAACATTACTGAGCTAAAAGGGTGTCCAGGGGCCATACTCTCAGAGTTTCTCCAGTCTCTGTAAGGCCAGTAAGTCTGGTCTTTTTTTGTGAGTTAGAATTTTGTTCTACATTTTTCTCCATT